CAGTGCTGACATCCCTATTCACATAATTTCTTCCAGTGTGGCGTGAGCCACATATGATGGTGCCCAGGCTCAGGTGTTTCAGGTCTAGGGAGACCCTGGAGTCAGGACATCCTGCAACAGAATGTGCTACAGAGTTTATGGCACTGCAGTGGGCTGTAACAGAGTGGCTAATTTGCTACTTGCAGATGTGCCTCTCTCCTCCAGCTTCTATTTCAGAAGCAATTCATTCCCTAGCAAACCTGGGGCAGCAAGCCCTGTCTGCACTCTCTGTCATCTACTTATGCCAGCATTCAGACCTCTGTTCTCTTTTCAGATCATTTGTGGGGGGTAATTTCCAGTCACCTACTTGAGCATCTATTTCAGGATTCACTATCTGGAGCTTGGCCCCTCTCTGTGGCCCGACACAGACACTTCTGTGCACCTGAGGCTATAGGGAGAGGTTTTGTCTAGCTCATTGAAAGAGATCTACACCAAGGGATCATGTCTCTGTTTGCAGGAACAAACTGCCTCCAGTGCTTGAACTTCCAAACCCAGTCTGGACATCACAAAGCACCGTGCAGTCTCCCATTAGAGCTAGTTGATCTCCCAGGGGGGTAACAGGGGGAGACAGAGAGACATGTGACAGATGCCTGGGAGTAAAGGATTGTCTCAGCATTTTAATGAACTATATCCTCAGAGACCTAAGAAACTCATGCCATGTATTATGTGACCTACATCCAATCACAGAGGCTCAAGACCCTGTTCTCTGAGACTGATGGCTAAGGGGTCAGTTGACTGAGGAGGGTGGATATGGCTTGCCTGCTTAATGGGGGATAATGAAAACCCAGCACCCCTCCAACATACTTACTGCAGAAGCCCATTCCAAGCTCCTAGACTACAGCCATGCCCATCCTGTCCCAGAAGGATGCTTGTGCAGGATGTGGCTTCTTGGGCACCACATAGCAGGGCTGGAGGGGCTCCCCATGCCTTGCTATGCTCAGTGCTCCTGCATCTCATTCTCCTGCAGCTGGGTAACAGTGGGGTGCCACAGGGGAATGAACCAGCAAGCAGGATTTAAAAACCAGAGCAACCCACCCTTTCAAGGTCAGACTCAGGTTGAGCTGCACAGGGTTTTCTCTAAGAGGCCACCGGAGCCCTTTTGTTCCTCGCTGCTCTCACCATGTTCATCCCAATGTACATGTGAAAGAAACAATTAACAATAGGGCACTCCTCTACGAGGATCCAATGCACTTTGAAGTGTCCACCAACCAAAGGCTCAAGAATGATACATCATTTTCCACTGTGAACGTGTCAAACTAGTACAGCAATTGAAAAAATGTCTCCACATGCCTTCCCAGCATGCAGACAGGGACCAGCTGGAGAGCCACTTCATATCCGACATGTCACCCCCTGACAGCTGTCTTCTTGGGAATTTTTGGTATGTAAAGTTTTCTGACTCCTTTTTTAAAGTAAAGCACAAGAATTAATCAGTTCATTTGAAAATTGCAGCCAGGTCTCTCCTAAAATGCAGTATTTCCTTCAAGACTGAATGAAGAAGATTTTCTTGCACAAAAATACCTGCAAAGTGTTTTTAAAGTGTCACTCATTGTAAGTGATGTCAATATTTAGTCACTTGTACATCAAAATCTCCCACAGCTTTTTTCCAGGCTGAGGGGCCCATTCAGCAAAGGTATTCCAGCACCAGGCTGTCCTGGACCGTGTGAGCAGACGCACTAACCACAACACACACCATTAACCAGGGCAGGGATCCCTCTCTCCTAAGTGTCACAAGCATTTCAAAGAGCAGGAACACCCAAATCATGCTGGTAAAGCAAAAGGCAGCTCACTAAACAGATGAGCAGCAAAAAAATGTCTGAGGTCACTGTTCTGACACTAGTTCACTCAAAATTCTTTTTCCTCCACTAAAATGAAGCTTTTTCTACATCCTAACCTGAGCAACAGGTTTTGTCACAGGGTTCACCCTACTGTCAGGAGGAGAGGAGAGGTTCGGAGAGGAGAGGACTCCTTGTTGAGGCTAGTGGATGTGCACTTCAAAGCAAAGAGAAAATGGGGCTCCAACAATTGGGAAACGTAAGACAATAAGCTGGAACATTTCCAGATGGGTCACCAGTGAATTGTTCCTTTACTTTGTCCCCTACAGGCAGTTAAAAGCAAAGATATTTCAGTTGCATAGTATCTTTTCACTCACCTGCTGCTTCCTAAGTCTCTGCTTTGCCTCCACACTTGAAAAAGAGAGCCAAGAGTGTGAGGGGAGGTGATAATGGTTCATGTGAAACCAGAAGTATTGGCCTGGAGAGTAGTATTGAGATGGAGGAAGACCACTAACACTCTTACTCAGGGATCCTGATTTTAGATTTCATGTTGACAGTGACTGAAGTGGAAGGATGTCAATGACACACTGATGGTATAAAAATGGATGTTATTTAACATCAAACTGCAAGAATTGGGTAATCTTAGGAGTAAATGGAATGAGAGAGGAAAAGATTGCAGTAACTCTGAGCCACGCACCTCAGGAACTGATAGCAGGAATTTCTGTCATGAGGAAAAATATCACTGCCTGGAAATGAGAAGGAACAACAGCTCATAGGATGAAAACAAACCTCCCTTCATCTAGTCTGACCTTCAAAGTGGCAGGGGGGAAAGGGGTGAGGGAGACAGGTAGTGTGGTACTGATACTGTTCAGGCCTCCAAACAGGTTGTTCTCTAGACTTAGAGCCTGGTCTCAGCCTGGGATGTGAGCCTGGCCAACTCAGGACCTGTGGGTTCATATGAAAGGAATGTCTGACAGAGTGTGCATAGGGGTGCAGCCAAAGCCCTTGGCATCCCTTCCTGCACCCCAGCACACAGGTGCTGCAGACAGCAGCAGGGATGTCTTGCCCTGGCACTGATCCTCATGAAGCCTGGTCCTGCCCCAGAGCTCAGGGAAGGAGTATATGAGTCCTCTAATCTCAGGGAAGGAGAATATGGAATTTCTTCCCAGATTCCTGCTGTCCAGTTGTCCACTTTGCTCTCTCCCCTCATCTTCTCGTTGAAACTAACACCTCTGCTCCCAGGAGAAGAGCAACCTGGCTCTCCCAGCAGATAAAGCTTTGACTCTTTTGCCCCACTCCTTTTTCTTCCCTTCTTGATAGTCTGCTTTGACCTGAGTGACATCCTCTCTTTGCTTTCAATCCCTGATTTTCTGCACTTGGGGACAGACTTTGAGCAGGCACTAAGTGCTGAGGCTATGCAGAGACGGTGAGGGGGGGCTGCAGCTACCCCGCAGCCTGCCATTCAGGCAGATGGTGGAGAGGGCCGATATGAATAGCTCCTGTCAGTCTCATAGAGCGAACTTTACAATTGTGCTACGTGTTGGACTGCACGTGACTAATGCCATTCTTCTGCAGGCTGCAGGCAGGACACAGCTGTTTCTTTAAGGAGAATTTTGTTTTTCTGGGCAGAAAAGAAAAGCACCCATGACAATGTTGTATTCATGTATCCGATATTACACTCCATAATTGGGCACGATCAAAGCTCATCCTGCCTCTCTCTCACTGCGTCTCTTTCTAGTAAATAAGACAATGTTTAGAAAAGAGCATGGCCTTGATTTGGTCCTTCTGGAGGTTTAAATTCTACCTCCCCACACAGCAGGTATGCACTGAGAAGAAGCAGCAGGGCCAAATATAGTGTTTTTTAAATAATTCTGAATTAATTAATTTCAAGATCAGTAATGAACTCCACACCAAACACTACATGGAGCTTCTGTTGATGAGAAACTGTGCTGCAGAAAAGATCAAAAAAATACAGACATCAATATAAACGTGAAAAGGTGAAGACCTTCTCTTAAAAACTGCAAAATAAGAAATGCACAATGGGCGCTGGACAGGGGATGAGTCTGGATCTTGAGCTTACAGTGCAGAAGGGCCATGTGAGACCAGAAGTGTAGTGCTCCTCCTACCCACATTTTGGTCAGGCTCACAACCCTGTTCTCTGTTCCACTGTCTTGGATGAGGCTTCTCCACATCAGTGTTTCAACACTGAAATCAGTGCTGGGTGCAGCCAGAAACACACCCCTGACACTCCTGCACTAGCAATTCCTTACCCTGGGGCATGACCCTGTCCCACAGCCCAGACAGGGCTGCATGTGCAATTGGGCAGCCCTTGGCATTGGGATAAGGTGCAGACAGCCCCAGGCAGTGCTGCCCTGAGCTGGCCCCCAGGGCAGTCTGGCCACGAGGCATGCAACTGTCTATTTAGCAAGGCACAGTTACATCCCTAACATTTCCTTCCGATTGCCTCCCTTACTGTGTTTCCAGACAGACCATCTGCCCACCAGCACTGGTGATCCACACCATGCAGCTACACTACCTTTTATCTTATCTCATAACTTTAGCACAATTCATAATTTGGGGAGTTCAGCCACCTTTGCTGTAGGCAGCAGTTCTCAAAGAAGTAGAATCAAAGTTGTACCAAGTTCAGTGTCATCCCTCCATCCCAGTTTTGGAAATGTCCTTCTCTAAAGTTGTCCTTTTGCTTCAAAGGAGTGTGGAAAGGTGATGAGGGCTGTAGCTGCTGCTGAGGGTCACCCTGGGAACCCCTAGAAGGGTCCATGGGAGGTGAGTGTCGGGAAATGCAAACAGCACACTGCACTTGCTGAGCAAGCTGGACACAAGGAGCTTTGCAGGGCCTGCTTTTCTGCAAGGTGGGTAGAAACTTCCACAGGAGAGGAAATTATCACAGAGACGGAGAAGCATACACTTCTCTGGAGTGCTGCTGCCATCCTTACTACCCTGACGGTGCCCAAATGTGCGCCTTTGTGCTGAGCACCTTGGGACTAAGTGTGTATGCCAGGGTCTGCCTCTCAGCGTGCCGCATTTGATTCCCAGGCTGTGCTGGCACAGGTACGTGGCCATCACCCGGGGAAAACGCCTGTCCGCCTCGCCGCTCTGCTCCGGGGAGCAGCCACGTAAATCCACGTGCCCTTCCCCGGGGTGCGCTGGAACAGCCCGAGCCGGGGCCGTGCCGCGGCGCTGCCGCGAGGCGGCGCTGCGGGAGCCCGGCTGGGCCCGGCCCGCTCCCTCAAGTTCGCGCCGTGGGTTTTCCTCTTTGCTGTGGTCCGTCCTCTTCCCTCTCTCCCTCCTTCCTTCCTTCCTTCCTTCCTTTTCTCCCTCCCTGCTTCCTTTCCTCCTTTCCTGCCTTCTTCCTTCCCTTCCTCTCCCCAGCGCTGCTCCCGGCCCCGGCAAGCCGCAGCCTTTACTCCGGTCAGAAAAGCCAACATCAGGGGTTAACTGTTATTTATAACAAATCCCCTCCCTCTCTTCTCCCCTTATCCCCTTTCAGACGGTGCTGAGGGGTGCGTTCGGGAGTTGCTCTCATCTCCCCACACTGTGCTGCTGCTGCTAAAACGCTGCGCACCAGGAGAGCAGGAAAAACCATCGCAGGGAAACAAACGAGCCTCTGTATCCAGGAGTCCCTTGCACGGGCAAAAGGTTCAAGGATGCCTGAGCAAAACCCAGGACAGCCCTAGAGCTCCCTCAGTTCAATGCTGCCTGAGCGTCCTCAGCGCCTTCCAGGCACTTGAATCCAAATCTTCGGGACCAATCCTGCATTCATAAAGCATCGGTAAGATTTTCTGAGGAAAATAGGGTCTGCAGCACATATTCCGGTGAAGAAATTGAGCAAATCACAGAGCCAATATTGATCGAGGCATTAGTGATCAGAATCAGTCTCCGCTGGAGCTCAGCATTTGCTCTAGAAGCTCTGGGCTTGGTACTCCCACTGAAGCCAAATTTTAACTGGGCATGGATTTTTACAGGTGCCAAATTAGGTTCCACCATGAGTTTTCCATTAAAAACACGAGAGCTGGGTACTTGGAGCACATTAGCACTCTTCTTTTCTGGGACATTACATCCCAGTGTTTATGTCCACTGGGATTCTATGGTGGGTGCTGACAGGAGGCAGCAGAGTTTGGTATGTACTCCTGCAGAATGTAAACTACTTTGAACACCAATATGCTGAAGTAAAAAAAAAAAAAGTTTGTTTGCCTTAACACAATCTCTTCAATCATCTTTTGAAGAGAGAATGCTAATAAAGAAAAAAATAATGTGTAATTGCTCATGACAAATAACAATAAGAATATATTGTCCAAATTGGGCGGCCAAACCAATTTTTCCAACTCTGATGCCAAGTTTGTCATTTTTCTTCTTTTCTTTCTGCCCCCAGTGAATGTAGTACATAGGAAAGCCTGTCACTGTTGCACAAGCTAGATCTGTGCATCAAGCTGCCAGGCACGAGCAGAGCTTCACATGAGAGATAGTGGTATTGGAGAGCCTGGTCTGATCCATCATGGGGGACCAGGGAAATTAATCCAGATGGATAGTGCTTTTAAGTAGTGCTTCGCTCACAAAATTCTCTAATCAGTGCCTCATGGTGAATGAGAAGTATTTGTAGCTATTTGTGAGAGTAGCTTAAATGTCTATTGCTTGCAGTGTGATTTGCACCTTGGCAATGAAATTAATAGACTTTTATATCTGATGAAACTTTTATGTCCGAGGAGGCTTTTATACCTGAAATACTTAGCAGAAGTTGTGTTCTTTTCTTCATGGAAGTATAATCTGATGCTAGGCTCAAGGACAGCAAAGAGTGGTACAAGCAATACTTTGGCATAGCTTTGGCAATCCTCAGCTTAGTGACTGCTGTTTGTTCTATCAGATAGGAGTGACACAAAGTAAACTAGAGGAGACTTACAGTTTGCCAGCCTGACTAAAACAGAGTTCTGCCTCTGCATCTGCTTGTCAGATGTCTGTAGACTATAGAGCTACCTGCACTGAGAGTAAATAGGAAAAGAAAGGGTGAAAATGCAACTTGCTGTCCTGCTAGGAGTCTCCTTCTCACTGACAGGAAGAGGTATGAGCATATATGTGTGCTGCTGTAGATCCCAGTTCAGAGGAATACATGAGCACGAGCTTATGTGCACTCTAAAGATGTCAACATATTCTTATTTATATGGACTCTACTAAATTAACCTTTGATTAGCAGCAATCAGTTCTCCCTAACCCACTTGTTTTGGACAATGCGAAAGACACTACTCCACTGTATTCAATGCTGAACAGAATGCTAATTCCAGCAGTCCAGGTTTACAATGCGACATATTTGAAACAATTGTCCAGTTGCAACTGATAGAACTTAAATGTTGGATATTGAGGGAGTCCTCAGGCCTGAGCTGGTCGAGAAATCCCCCTCAGTCTAAGAGCTTAACCTAGATGTACAGGACCCTTCTGTTAAGGATTAGTTTTGATGGAAAATGCAAAAGGTTTACATTTTCTGATAAACAAGTGATTACATCTGCATTATTCCCAGAGCTGAAGCTTTGATGGCAAGGTGGAACATCTTTGGACAAAGAGAAGTGCAGCCAGCCTCTGAAAAGCAGACCCTTTTGGATAAATTGACCTGGATAAAACAACAAGGACAAGATAGCATTCAACTCAGTGTGCTGAAAGAGCAAATATGAAATTTCTGAGCTACCAAAGCAGAACTTACACCAGCCACCACCTCAAGGAACAAAGGTGAGTAATGTGATAGGGAGCCGTATGAATAACAGAATAAATATAGCAACATTTCCTCTGGATTGGTGGTAGGTTTACAAAAGGGGTGTCCAAAGGCTTATGCTAGGATCGATGCTGTTCACCATCTCTATATGGGGCATGGCAAAGCGGGTGAATACTGGCAAAGTTTGCAGATGATACAAAATTATTCATAATAATCAAAGCTAAAGCTGACTTTTGCAGAAGGAGCTTATAATACCAACTGACAGTGAAGTGCCAGATGAAATTCAGTATTGACAAGTGCAAAGTAAGGCACTTAGGGAAAAAATAACTCTACTTATACATCTGCAGTGACGGTCTCTAGATAGCAACACTCAAGAAAGATCATGGGTAACTGAAATTGAGGTTTCTGAAAACATCACTTACTGCCCTGCAACAGTCAAAAGGCAAATTGGATAGTAGGAATTGCTAAATGAGAGAACACAATAAAACAGAACAGAAAATAGTGTTCCAGCACTGAGCTAATAACTTTAGAAAAGATATAGAACAGGTAACAGGGATGGTCAGAGTTTTGTAACAGTTTATTTTTCAGGAAAGACTAAATTAGACCTTTTCAACTTGGAAAGAAAACTACCTGAGGTGACTAGATGTAAGTGTATAAAGTCACCAATGGCATGGAGAAGGTAAACAGACCAAGGTTAATTTGTATTTCTCCGATACAAGAATTAGGGATAACAAATTGAATTATCCTACAATAGATTTAAACCATAAGGAAGAAATTTTCCACATGATGCATTAAATCATGGGACTTGTTGCCAAAACAGCAACTTGTTGTTGCACAAATGTGTTTAAATAAGACTTAGACAAAGTCATGCCATATAGGACCACTGTTAGGATGAAAAATCCACCTTCAACCTGTAGCTCAGGGACTCTTGAAACTATCAATTGCCAAAAACCAGAAGAGGGTATCAGGTGCAGATCACTGTATACTGCCCCTGTCCTTGTGCCCTTCCTTAAATATCTACATAAGCTGATATCTGAGGTGAGATACTGGGCTATAGAGACTTTTCATCTTATTCACAGGAGCATTTTTTATTTGAAGGAATGGGAAAATACATCCTGGATATGATTACACAGTGAGAGGCAAGGAATGTGTGTACTGGAACCATGTGAAAAACAAGGTCCCATTTCCTTCCGTGCACTACTTACAAGTTTGTTTGGGACTATTCTGCATTGATAGCAATTTTGTTTTGATCCTCATAAAAGGACGTCTGCAGCTCAGGAAGATTTAGTTATGATTTTTTTTAAAAGACGAGGTTGTTCTAGGGAGCTGACGTAATTCAAAGTGTCATCTATCATGAAAAAAATATTTTTTTGTGAAGATTTTGTTTGAGTTGTTGTTGTATTATGGTCTCAGTCACAGCACCTTTTCTTACACCAGAATATACAGTACTGAGCCCATCAAAACAAAAATCCCAGTCCAGTTCTGAAAGCAGCAACATGCCTGCTTACCTCTGAAGCCTCTCTCCAGCATGGCAGGAAGTCAGGGTGGCCATTCATTTCTATACACTTGAGTGTGTGTGTGCTTGCAGATTTGTGGTGCAGGAGAAAATCCAAGCCAGAGAGAGAGAGAGAGATAAAATTATTTTTCTTCTTATTTGCTTGTTTGCAGACTCTACCAGGGGCTCAGATGCACTAGCTCAGTTGGCACAGTGTCTGCATCTAGGCTGACTGTGGGGTCTAAAACATAAACAAAGTAGGCAGTTGTTGAAGGCAGCACGCAACTGGCAGCAACCAGATGCGGGCCTGACAGCAGGAGCAGACAAGCTCCTGGGGCAGCACAAATTCAATTTTGCTCAACTTGCTGCTGAGTCTCATGTTGCATTGCCTGGTTTGCAAAGACAGGGAGGCATTTTCCCACTGGAGCTAAAAACCACTGAGATGGGGATGTTTCTGCTGTCCCATTTTATCATACAGGTTTCATGACCACATTTGAGGACATATCTGACATAGAGACAAAGGTGAAAGACTTTGAGATTTCCCAGGAGTGAGACAAATACCCATCCTCAGCCCCATGAGCCTTCTGATACTGCAATGAAGTGTTTTTGGTAGGAAAACTTTGGTTGCTTTCTGTTCCAAACAGCTCAGCTTTGATAAATGCAGCAGGATTGATCTGTGCTGTGTGTCCCTTAACTGAGTTACCATGTATAATCCTCTCTGGAACAGAACATTTACATTCCACTGACCTAGTTGAAAAAATGCATTAATTTTAATTTATGCAAAATTCTCCCAATAGAAGAGTGAGAGGAGAGAGGCGATTTTTTATTTGCAGTCCTTGCCTGCTTGGAGCTAGAAGTGAAGGCCAGCTTTTTAATCAGGATTTTTTTAAAATGTTGAAGCATTTCAGTGGGTGTCTTGTTCATGTAAATCCAGATAGAGCTTTATTACCTCACATACATCTCATGGAGTCACAAATACAAAATGTACCATCAACCTGTCTCCTCTCCACTGCAGGGTGTCTCTCTGCCTCTGGAGAACCCTGTGCAATGGGGCACCAAGGATAGTTTAACACAAGAAAGAAAACAAAGCCTTCACCGAGACACCTCATTTCAACTGGCCCTGTTGCACATCTCTGTGAAGGCTGATCCCATATGGAGGGATTGGGGAACTTTATTGTTGAAGAGGGGTTTAGTGGTGCATATTCCTATATCAGCTGACCTGAAAAGCTGACCTGAAAAGCTAACCAGAGAGCATGGTTAGCCCACAGCCCAGCCCCAGTGCTGCAGTTCCATCAAAGGAAAAATGGCCAGTAACATTTGTGAGAGTTGGCTGTGTAGCCAAAAATTTGGCTGTAGGGTCACTTCATCTGTCTCCATGAGTCAAACACAACAGGTACATTTACAAAAGGAACTGAGTGGAGGGTGCTTTGCTATTGCTTCAGCATGGAAAAACAGAGGGAAAGATGCCTCATGTTAGAATTCCCTTTAGTGAGAATCATTTTGGGGTCTTGACTCAGCAATGTGGCTGCAGCCAGCCAGCCCCATTTCCACATGGGAGGCTGGCAGAGCAAGGAAGAGGTAGGAGCCATCATAATTGCTCAGCAAGCTCTTTGGCGGTTACCAAAATTGGTGCAGTCAGTGTGAAATAAAGCAAATTCAGGAGCTTTTCATACCAAAATGGCCTAGGAACAGGAGAGCACCACAGTGTCTAAGTCATCTTTTTCTTTACTCCTGCATAAAGGGTAAATTTGGGGCAGGTGAGCACAAGGTCTTTTCTCTATCCCTGGGGGCTCAAACCCAGCCTGTCTTATGCTGACAGCCCAGCTGTGGCTGAGGGGACTCCTCTTTCTGTGCCCAAAGCAGGAGCTCTGCGAGCCTGAGCAATGCCACAGCTGTCCACAGGAGCCTGTGTGTGACCTGAGGGGGCAACTCAGAAACCCACTGGTCTGAGGAGATGTTTGGATCCCAACTCTGTCATGAACCCTCATCCTATAGCGGAAACATGAAACGCAGCCTATGCTTATGCACTGTTGCTGCATAGTATTTTGTCTCATGCAGTCCTTGACAAGGTTACCATGCAAACATAGGAACCACAACTTGAGCAAATGAGAGGAAAAAAAATCCCAAACCATACAGTTATCTGCAACTGTGTAATTCTTAAATCTCCTTATCATGTAGTACCCTGCTGTTTACAGTCTTGCACCTTTCTTTGTTTCAAAATCATCTCTATAATAACTTCAAGAATGAGAAAAACTTCTCTTGTAGGTGCAAGTAAGCATCTGTGTTTACTGGAGATATCACAGGGATGAATTTTATTGCTAATGTGTAAGGGCAAGAGCCACCATGCTTCCAAGAGACTACTGCCCACCTGACATGATATTTTTTCTTGGTTGCTGGTATCTTTAGCTTACAGTAAAGCTCATTTCAGATGGAAAGTACTGTAGATGTTTCGCTCATTACCAATGGAAATGTGATGGTGTGTTCTCAGTAAGGCTCTGAATGTGCTTATCTCCAGCTGTTTAAGAACACATTCATGTTGCTGAAGAAGGGCAATCCCTACACTAAACTGCAGCTGCTCAGAGAGATATAGTATTGTAAAATGCAGACAGTGATTTGTGACAATAGAGAAATTTTCCTTTTTTTCCCCAGCCAAAAAGCAGTCATTTTACAATCTATCTTATGCAGCATGAGAAAGCTATTATGGAAAGTAACCTTTCCCTTTTTCCAAATGAATAGATACCAAGAACATCAGAGGTATAGTATCAGGCAGGTATAAATAATGAAAGGTGAGGAAAGCAGAAGGTATATTGTCCACAAAAAAAAGTACCCCATCAGCTCCCTGAACATATACAAAGATTTATTTGGTAATTAAACCAGCAGTATTAATTTCAAACATTACAATCCAATTGTCAGGTTTTCAAGCCTAGATAACTCACAAGCTGTCAAATCTCCTTCCAAACACATGTACACTCTTACAAACCTGTCTTTCTCTGCAGCTGGACTTCGGCAGAGTCTTAATTACTTCAAGAGAGAAAGATGCTTATGCAATGATACAACTTTTGCTAAAAATAAAGAAAACAGAAATCTATAAGTAATATCAATGAAACAATGCACATCTCTCTATACAATTTAAGGTTTGGAGAACTCTGGCAGAATGGAGGGAATTTTATCAGCCATTCTTCCAGGTATGGAAGTGTTGAGAAGAGACCAGACAGTAGCACTAGACCAGTTGTTCACTTGAGTAGCTTGGTAAAAGCAGTCTGCAGGTGGAGATATTTTTTCAGAATAATCTTTATCTTCCATGGAATTTGTCATGATATTCAGGAATTTGAATTACTCATAGTTTATAGGGATTTGCTATTATTAATCTAGTTTGTTTTAAGATTTCAAATGTCATTCTGTAATGTCACTCTAAGGACAAAGCAGACCAAAGCTTTCTGACAGAGAAGATCATTCCACAGTTTTGAACACACCTGGTGTTTTGTGCCATCACATCCAGACGCTTACTAAGAAAAGCAGCAC